TGAGTGAGTGAGTGAGTGAGTGAGTGAGTGAGCGAGTGAATGAGAGAGAAAGATAGAGATAGAAATATGTAAAGGGGTTGTTGGTGTCTGTGTGGTTTCATTTACGATCAGTATCTCGCGGTATACAAGCCATATCTATATGTATATAAGCCTCAGCATGCTTCTAAGCCGCGATGTAAGCCCCGCGAGTTTCTACCCGTTCGGTATCCTAGTTCGACGTCGTCGAATCCTCCTCGTTTGCATAGGAATGAGTTTATGCAGATTAATACACGTGCGAGAGTTTCTCTACGTGTAGCTTGCGACGGACTAGCTAGCTAGCTAGCTAGCTAGCAAGCTAGGACTATAGGTGGTAGATGGTATAACCTTCTATACCAAGTCATCATTCGCTAGCTGGTGGTTGCTGCTCTTCGCAGGGTTCGGGGATGTTAAGCATGGTGTCCCTTACATGGATTTAAACGTACATATGCATATTTTATTGACGATTTCGTGAATACGATCTATTCGAGATTTTCTGTTGTGCATTAAAAAAAAATATCAACGAGATACCCGTTAGGCATCGTTGTATAAAATCGTTCCTTTTTTTTTTTTAATTTTTTTTTTTATTCTTTCCCCTACGCGTTATTCTTTCTTCCTTTTTTTTTTTATTTTTCGTTTCTTTCATCAGAGAAACCGTTCTACTTTCACGATGTTTAAAAAGAAAATTCTCGATCGACTCTGATCAGAGTTTGTCAGTTTGTAAAAGTTTATACCGAGTTTGTTTGAAATAAGTTTCCAGCGGTAAGGTTTGGATTAGGATTTGTTGATAATTCATATCGCGCAGGTGCGATGACTTACTTTTCAAAGATTTCACATAGATAAGAAATATTTGATAAACTTATTTCTACGAACTTTTACATATATATATATGTAAAAGTTCGTAGAAATAAGTTTATCAAATATTTCTTATCTATGTGAAATCTTTGAAAAGTAAGTCATCGCACCTGCGCGATATGAATTATCAACAAATCCTAATCCAAACCTTACCGCTGGAAACTTATTTCAAACAAACTCGGTATAAACTTTTACAAACTGACAAACTCTGATCAGAGTCGATCGAGAATTTTCTTTTTAAACATCGTGAAAGTAGAACGGTTTCTCTGATGAAAGAAACGAAAAATAAAAAAAAAAAGGAAGAAAGAATAACGCGTAGGGGAAAGAATAAAAAAAAAAATTAAAAAAAAAAAAGGAACGATTTTATACAACGATGCCTAACGGGTATCTCGTTGATATTTTTTTTTAATGCACAACAGAAAATCTCGAATAGATCGTATTCACGAAATCGTCAATAAAATATGCATATGTACGTTTAAATCCATGTAAGGGACACCATGCTTAACATCCCCGAACCCTGCGAAGAGCAGCAACCACCAGCTAGCGAATGATGACTTGGTATAGAAGGTTATACCATCTACCACCTATAGTCCTAGCTTGCTAGCTAGCTAGCTAGCTAGCTAGTCCGTCGCAAGCTACACGTAGAGAAACTCTCGCACGTGTATTAATCTGCATAAACTCATTCCTATGCAAACGAGGAGGATTCGACGACGTCGAACTAGGATACCGAACGGGTAGAAACTCGCGGGGCTTACATCGCGGCTTAGAAGCATGCTGAGGCTTATATACATATAGATATGGCTTGTATACCGCGAGATACTGATCGTAAATGAAACCACACAGACACCAACAACCCCTTTACATATTTCTATCTCTATCTTTCTCTCTCATTCACTCGCTCACTCACTCACTCACTCACTCACTCACTCACTCACTCAAACTATCGTTCTTTCCTTTCTTCGTTCCTTCTTCGTTTTCTTCGTATTGCCGTAGACGGAATAATAATTGCCGAGTCCCTTGTCCTACGGCATATTCGAAGGTGACGATGATCATTTTACGCTTGAAAAGAAATAAAAATAATAAAATCAATGAGACGGTGACACCTGTGCCGAGCTAAGATTAATATCTTTCTCTTATCGTAAATTTTAATCGATCGGGAGAAATATTTTTTTTCATTTTTCTTGCTTCTTTTTGTTTGTTACACCCCCTATATCCAGCACGAATCTTCTTCTTCTTCTTCTTCTTCTTCTGTAGAATCTTATTTAAACGTTAAGATAATCTTCTAGTTTCCTATGACCGATTCGTACGATCGATCATCCAAACCCCCCACTCCCCCTCCCCCTTGTCCCTGGACACTGTTTCGAGAACACACAATGATAGTACCACTCTAACGTTCCTCAATATTTCGGTCTTCCTTCGTATTTCCGATATCGAGCAAGGAAATAGTCGACGGGCCGATGTAAAATGAAGAATAAAAGAGATGGGAAAAATAAACGATATGAGAAATAACAACAACAAAGACATACTGATTTTCGATATTTTTCATCTGGAAACTGTAAATCTATGACGAATACGCTCAGGGGGATTTTGATTTTACACTTGCTCGAGGACTGTAAGTTCACTTACTCGTATCCTATGTATGTTTAATGCGAGCAAGCAGCAAGGCCTTCGACCAAGAAACTTCTTACTGCCATTTGTTTATAACTTATTCACGACTGGTGCAATTACCGGTGTGTGGTAGTTCATCGACGTATAGACACGAAAATCGCACCTTTCTTACTCGCCGCTGCCAACGCATGTATCAACAACCACCTATGTGCCTCTCTTTTTCTTTATTTTTTATTTCATTCAACACATATCTAAGCTTCTCTTTACCTTTCTTTTTACATCTGACGTGTACTAGGGATGACTTCGATACAAGTTAGATGCCTATAGAAAAATATGTGAGAAAAGAAAAAGAAAAGATCTTTCGAAAAGCATTGCAATAGTTACAACTTATCTTTGAAGTTAAAATATATAAGAGAAAAAAATATACAATATAGGAGATAATATCTGATATGTAATCATTATCATCTTTTCTTATAGTCCAGGAAGTTGAAAGTTTTCGCGTTTTAAAAATGTACTCACCGAGTAGGCTAATCCTATGGAACGTTTCGAAAATTATAACTTTCATTGTGATCATTTTTACGATCGATATGATAGAAACAAAAATGTTTTATTCTTATACTTCGTTAAGTTTTGTTTCCACGTCGTTTACAATTTACACAAAATACGTGAAAATTATTTTAATTTATTTTATTTTTTACATAACAATTTAGTAACAATACTGTAGGTAGAAATAAAAACTCGATTTCGTGTCTCTCTCTCTCTCTCTGACGTATGTACAATATTTTAATAAATAAAATTAATCGTTGAATCTTGATATCTGACAGATTTCAAGTTTTCAAGAGCAATTTGTAACATTTATTACAAATGTATCCTAAAAATGAAAATACTTTAATGGTTAAATAGTACTAGTTCAATAATTTATTACGAAGTTCGTGACTTGTTGGATGGTAAAATTTGTTACTGTATTCACAATGACTACTAATCATTCGTTCAGGCACGTAAATTAGTTTTTGTTTACCCAACTTATACTCCTGTCACTGACTTTTCTCCTAGTTGTGTTGCTTACCTGAACGAATTCGAGCGAACTTCTATATTGAAAGCGTTCGCGAATTTTAATCTACCACTTCGTTTCTACCCTCCTGTCTTCAGATAAATATTTAATAGTTGCTTCGTACAGACTACAGGACCGACAGATAACGTATTAATGAACCGAATCAGCTACTATATACCATCCCATCGTTAAATTAAAATCGAAAGATCAAACGTGTACCTACATTATCGCTAGAAATTTATGCATTTCCTCAAGCTTCATTGTAATACTTCTGACATTTTCGTAAATGAACAATTTATCAAAGGAATTATATTTAACAGTTTTTGATCAAATATTACGAATTGTTAACAAACGAAAACAAAATAAAATGCGCATCTTACGTTAGTAAAAATAATAAATTGATGCTTGTCTTATAAAATCGATGCAAATATCGAGAAATATAAATGTATATATTATTTTTCAACTCTGAGAGGGTTGTGTTATATTGGAAATGTGATTCACGAGTTTGAAGTATTTAAACAAAACGAGGTTCCTCGTTTTGATATCCTTTTATGATATCTCGCGATATTCACAAATAAAAATACGCTTACATGCGTACACACGTATGTCAGGTTTACGGTGATACTAACGATGTCACGGGTTCTTTTTGTTTCAGCTTGACGAGGACTGAAATGACGCAGGAGTCACGGTGAGAAAAGGGCGAGGGTTTCACCCTCGCACGAAAAGGGGGTGCCATGGCGAAGAACTTTAGTTTCGTCGTTGGTGCGAGCCCATCGACTACCCCTCACCATATTCGTCTTCTTCTCCCCCTTCTTTTCCTCGGTTTCACCTGGTTCGTTCCCTCAACGCATGCCGTGGATCTTTGTAAGTATTATTTTTTTACTTTAACAACAACAAAAAAAAGGAAAAAATATTTTCCTGCTTCTTTTCCGTTATTGCACGCGCGCACGCGTTTGTATGTGTGTGTGTTTTTTGTTTTCCTTTTTCACAATCTACAATTTTTACACCATTTAACGTATATTATTCTACGCGATATTATTTCTTTGTTTCTTTTTTTTTTTTTTACAATCAAACGTTAATACCGGTTTACTTAATCGTTTTCACAATATTTGTCGTTGTATGGTCCAATCGTTTCGCAGAAATCATCATGTACCTACCACCATGTTCCCGAGAGGAAAAAAAAAAGCCGGCCATTATTCGTTCGAACGTTGATTAAATATTGATTTTACCCTTCACCTGTGACGCGAGTTCTCGCAAATATTTACGCCGGTCGTTATAAAATAATTCGCTACGGCGATGAGAGAAGAAGATCCACCGTTTATTAAATAATATTCGGTCCGATAAGTGACGCCGAGCGTTAATATCTTTGTCTCTCTCTCTCTCTTTTTCTCTCTATTTCTGTCACTATTTCTCTCCATCTATCGGTCAATCTCTCTTCTCGTTGAGAACGGAAAAGAGAATCTATTAACTGACGCATGCAAATCGTCGAAGCCGTATTAAGGCCAGCTTGACGATGAGAAACTGGGGTGGTCTGTAGAATAAAACGAGCGTAAAGTATCGGAACGAAGAATTATAAAGGACAAATAAGAAAAAGAAAAAAGAAAAAAAAAAAAAAAGAGGAGTAAGTAAAAGAAAAATGAGAGGGGGAGGTAAGAAAGAATAGACGAGGAAGTTAAACGACGATGTGAGAAAGGAATGGAAGAAAGAGACCCGATCAAGACGAAGTCGAAAGAGAACTTGTGTACCATTGGAAGATTAAACCAATGGTAGGAAAGAAAAATAAAGGAAAGGAAATCAAAAAGGGAGAAAGAGAGAGAGAGAGAAAGATATTCCCTTTCTTTTTCTAACCGACTTCTCGAACCCACCCTTTTTCTTCGTATTTCCCCTTTGGTTCAACAACTTTCTTGAAAGCTGATCGATTAAGACATTTAATCGTTAAAACCGTAATCGTATCGAGAAATAATTCGGATTATTTCAATTAGTATATATATATTGAATTAATATTAAGATTGAAAAGAGAAATAACGAATAAATAATTCGATCGTATAACGGAATATAGGATGATTGTGTTTAGAAAAATATATCTGGGATAAAGAAATAACATTTTTTTTATGTTTGTAAACTAATTTGCAGAGAATATATTGTGTTTTAATATTCTTACTTGTCAGTCATGCGCGATTTGCTTTTTATTTACGCTATCAAAGTCATTGTTCTCTATAACATATACATTTTGTTTTGAATCGCGCGTATTTATGTCCCCTTTGTTCAGTCTGTTTCTAACAGTCGCGCGAGAATGTTGTGTTACGGTAGTATATGAATATTTTTCTATTACGATTTGTATATCATCGTTATTCGGATAAAATAGTGATAAAGAAGATAAAACAAGGATTAATGGAGTAGGATTTTTTCGGTGATTATCATTAAACCAATGTGAGTATAGATATTTAAATATAGAATTTTTTCTTAACACACAATTATTTCGATAACGCGATACTTCTAACAATTAATTTTATCGTTTACTCGTCTTATTTTTTATCTGTAATTTTTAAGATCACGTTTCATTTCATACCAACAAAAAAAAAAGTTAATTTTTCAGATTGAATCTCGAAATAACATTCATTGTCTATCTTCTGAATAAGTATATTTTCATTTTAATCAATGCAACAATTAGATCAAAGTGCACTGATAAGTTAGACACGCTAAGGTAGACCCTTTTATTCCCTAACACTTAGTTCACCTTCCATTTTACTAAACATTCAACGACGACCCACTCGTTTCGGGTAATAGTCCTACGTGAAAAGCTGGTTTCAACTATCACACGGATTCATCTCAGTTAGCCGCTTATTTAGCCCTTTTTAATTCGCCTTGCTACGTTGCACGGTAAATATATAAATACGCATACTTTAGATTGAGTTCAGGGATATATTCCTTTCGCTGTTCCTTTTCAAACCAGTATCTCGACGATCTTCGAAACGTTCGTGCTCGTATAAATTTAACTACAAGCCGATCTCGATCAGCGCGATCCATCGGTTAAATAAATTATGATAAATATAAATATATTATATACAAATATATAAATGTACTAACGTGTGTTGAGTGCATGTGTGTGTGTGTGCTTAAATTTATATCTTTAACAAAAAATATTATATTTCAGATAAGATTATATTATTATTATTATTACTATTATTAATCGTCTTATCGCATAAATGCAAGCTTAAAAACAGTTTGTTATACTTTATTCTTTTTTTTTTTTTACAGTAAATCTTTTTATAGGATTAATTCGCAGCGCGTAGTAGTATTCGATTAAATAATCGTTACGGGAAATATTCGTTTGACACGTTTAACGTTGGTTGTATATGTAAAAATATGCATAACGCATACGCATGTAAAACGTTCGAGATGATAATTCTTTTTTGATCTTTTTACGTTTTAGCACAATGCATCGCGCCACTGGGCATGGAATCCAAAGCAATACCGGATAAGGACATCACAGTCAGTTCCACCTACGATGCCGGAAATGTTGGCCCGCATCTGGCACGGTGAGCTTTCATATCTTTTATTTTTTTATTTTTTGGACTCTTTTTTTTTGCAGAACTTTGCAAATTTTTCAAACAGACACGACCCAGACACGTGTCGATTCAATTTGATCAAGATAGATGTTTCTCGTACAATGTACGCGTAGTGATTTTTAAACTGAACATTTACATGACGTTATCTTTCTTTACTTTTTTATATATATAAATATAAAAAACGAATTTTTATTATTGTTTCTCAAGTAAACGATCGAACATTATTGTTATTTGCCATACGTTTAAATATTACCAACCGTTATTTTTTCAGCTAAATATAAAATGCTTTTTTCTTTTGTTTTTTCTTTTTAAAAATCACGCTCGATAGGATTAACGAAACGAATCAATGAAAAATAGGGGTAGGAGAGGGAAGAAAAAAAAGGAGAAAAAAAAAAATTTGGTCCGTTCATTTCTTTTTCAATTGACAACTCGATTCGATAACGACTACAGACGGCTTATGCGTCAAACCGAATTTTTGTCGCACTTATCGGCTATTCGTTCACTCGATACATAATCCAACAGAGCTAATGGATTTAGTTGGCAGACGAGACGATGTTGAAAGAATCGGAATTACAAAGAATCGTTAATGCGTCTGTGCCAATGCACACGTCGCTCGTTTTCCCGTCACGGATGTTGGATGAACCAGAAATCGTTAGCACAGAACATCCACTATTCGCCTTAATCGAAGCATGCCGAGCAAAAGGTTCATCATGATTACGTTCTTCTTCCTTACGTTAATGCTTTTCCAAGAAGAAATTCTATGTGTAAAATTAGGTAAACGTTCAAGAATTTCATTTCATAAGATTTCGTTTAATATTCGTATATTTCAAATTACATAAAAATCGAATGATTCGTTTTAAACCAAAATTATTTTTAATATTTTTCACATGCGCCATATGTACTTTCTATAACAACACAACTTCGTTCTCGTTTACGTAGTATTATATGAAACTCGATTTCTAATTATCATAATGGTAGGTAAAAAGTTACTTTACTACTTAACATTTATTTGGAACGCCTCCAATTTCCGGAGTGGGGGAGTTACAGGGTTAATTGAAACGCCTTCGTGTTAGCATGAATACTAAAATCTTGCGGGGGGAATGATTTCGTATACGGTTGTTTTTAAACACGTACAATCCGGTGTGGCAGGTTCTATAGAATTTATATGGCTGTTTTCTTATTTTTTCTGTTTTTCTTTTTTTTCAGACTAACATAAGACACGCGAAAAGAATTCGCGCGAATTTTATTTAATAAAGTGTCACGAACAAAAATCTTCTTTATTACCTTGAAAATAAATACTTTCGATGTTTTAATTCACAATCGATGAAAATAATTATTTGCATTACCGAACAAAAATAGTGTTTTACAAAGCAAATGAATGGAATTATTAGAAAAAGTTTGCGTGTGTTTTTAGAAACGTGAGATAATTCGACGAATAATAGTATGAAAAGAATCGTTTCTCGTGTGATTGACGCTAGAATTATTTTCTATAAAAGATCGAGACCTGTATTTCTTTTATGTCTTCTTCTTTATCCTTGATTCGAGCCCTCAGCGACGAATTACCTTTCGTTCATTGCTTTTCAATCTCTGCTGCTGTTGTTGCTGCTGCATTTGGTTAGGTGGTAAGCCGCAAAAATGTGCGTTGGACCGCTTAAATTACAAGCGAGAAAGTTCACGCCTATTCGTACCGCAAATTATCTGATACTTTCAAGAGGCGGTTACGCGGTCAATGCAAATAATCGATCATTGATAGTTATCCGTGCGTGCGCGCGAGGAAGTTGTTAAAAGTCCTTTCACTATCGTATAGAAATAACAGCAACAGCAATCGTCAATGAAATAAACTTACAGAAGCGTAACCAACTAATTATATTTGTCTCCTACAAAATTTCATTGCAATCTCATGCTAACATATTAAACAACAAAATAAATCCTCGAAACTTAACATAACTAAAACATTTTTATTCCAAATGAAAAAGAAAAACTAAAAGATTACAATTGTGCTAGTTCAATATTGTCACGAATAAGATATATTACAGTATATATTATAATAGTATTTTTATTCCCCCACTTTATCCAACTCTTAGTATGATCCTCTCCCTCTCTTTGTAACACATACAAGCCCTGTTTAGATATTAACGCGCAGTACCCAATGTTCATCGGAGGTTATACCGCAGTGCCGGTTTATACGAATATACCGTGCCCCGTGGGAAGCATCCGGTCTACTGTAGCACGCATGTTCTACGAAGGAACAAACGAACGGGGCAGCAACGAGCAGTCGAAGCGAGTATTGCGTCGGTCTGTTGTTGGCCCCCGCGGGCTCTCCGATATTAATACATTCCATTACAGTAGACAATGACCGGCTGAATGGATCTCTGACTCCTGATGAGCTTTTAGTTCCCCCTCCTCCTTCTCCTCCAACTGCCCTCTTCATACCCTGGCCGCCACTCCGATGACTATCCTTTACCAATATATATACTCTCTACCTACTCTCAGCCAACTCCTCCTCGCACGTCACCATCTAATTTAATACTCGACGACCTCGGGCCAAAGAAGATCGCACACCTGCTTTGCTTGAAGGATAAAACGTGCCCAACTAGAAGACTCCCGTAGGTTCGATCATTTGCGGTTGTTTTCTAATATCTTGATCGTTACTATCGCCAATGGTAATGGGTAGTGGTGGTGGTAGTGGTGGTGGTTTAAACTTATCTAACAACGAATGACTGCAATTCTTTATTGGTTTGTAGTTATACCTTTGGTTATATTACTCTATCTCATAAAACCTGACTACATTTTACATATATACGAGTTAATCTCGGTGATATCGTAAAAAAGTCATAACTTTATTAATATTCTAATGTAACACGATGAAATATATGGGAATAAATATTTTATAATTAACGTTAGCAATGGTCATGTCATTTTGATAAATTTCATTTTAAGTAAGCGTATTATTAGTGATAATAATTAATGATGGTAAAAATTTAAATGAGATTAATTTAACTCGAAACAGATTTAACCGGTAGATAGTAAACGGTTTATTATTTGTATTCTTATGGAAAATGAGATAACTTTGAAATAAAGTGAATTTTCAAGGGAAGAAAAAAGATGAATTAATGCAAGGTATTAATGCGGAACGTTAAAGTAAAACAAATAGGTAAATTCAATTGAACTCGGGTTATTATTAGATATATCAGTGAAGCCAAGTCCGTTTTATTTTTTTTGCAAAGGGGATTTAATTATATCAAAACTCTCGATTTCCTTTTCCATAACAGTCAAAGTTGGCCAAGAAATAGAAGAAGTAGAAGAAGAAGAAGAAGAAGAAGACAGGGAAGTATAATCATACCGTTACACGTAATTTCACGACGAACGAAGTATTCTCTTTCTTACTCTCTCGGAATCTCCAAGGCAAGTTTTGCGCCGGATCGTCATAACTTTCGTCACGCGTTTTTGATTTCTCCATTTTACTTCACCAAGAAGTTGTCCCCCAGCTGCGCTTTCTCGCGTCTTGCTTGCTCACCCTTCTTCCTATCTTTTCCCTCTCTCTCTCTTTCTTTTTCCCTAACTCCTTACTTTCTTCTCGCCCTTTCCCTATTTCTCTTTCTCTTTCTTCAAGCTTTTCTTACTCGACAGTATTTCTAGAATGGGTGCAATTAAGACGCCGGTAAGAGTGTCGCGTTAAGATACCGAAAGAAATAGTAGACCTCGTGAAAAATCAACGCTAAGGGAGTAGAAATGGGTAAGAAAATCCTCCCTTCCTTAAAGAAAACTTTTCGAAAGTCTAAAATATATATATAAATGTATATATA